TTTAAATGGTTTCGTTACTTTTTTTAACAGTAAAGGAGACTAAATAATGCAGGATGACACAAAAATCCTCTAGCACGGTATTTCTGTTGATAAAAACTGAAAAGAAGCACATAGCGACATGAAATTTACAATGTATATTGAACAATGTATAATCAATCCACCCTTTGCCTTCACATAGTTCCACAGAACCTTGGAGAATGCAACCACCGAAGGACTTCTTCTTCTTTCAAGAAATCTGGCCCTAAAAATCTTTAAATTAGGAGGTATTGATCCTTTCTAACACAACCATTCTTCAGATATGTAAAGATAATTCTAATTAACTGTAATAATCATACACTATTTTTACTAAATAAAAATTTATTAAATAAATACATGTATTTTTTTCAATTTATAAAAGTCGTCTATTTTCTGTTAATTGCTCCTGTGTGTACAATAAAAAAGTTATATAAAAAATCGGAGTTAAAGCAGCTATTATAATTGCCAGTGCAGTATGTGGGGAAACAAACAACCATGTTGATGATGCACTTATTATAGTAAATGATATTGATAAAATAAACTTTTGTGTTAATATCGATTCATTTAATAAATTATTTCTAAGTAAAACCCCAATTTGAGTGTTCACCACTAAAAACAAAAATAAAATAATACAATAAACCATTTATTTACACTTTTTAAATGAATAAACTTACAGATTCCATAAATAGTATTGCTTAAACACAGGAAACAACCGTACATTAACAGCCAACCAAAAATCCTTACTTCCCAAGTTTTCCATCTAATATCGGCATGTTCTGCATGGAACATTTCCGAAATTGATAACTCTCCATATCTTAACATAGCAATTTCATGCTTTTCTACTGTTGGATATGGAATTAAAACACCATTATATTGTTGTGCAATAACAGTAACCTAATTTAAATGTGGCAATTTTTATCAATAATATAAAATAAATATAACTCTTACAATATCTCCATTTAATCCAGCATAATAAAATTGAACCCTAATATCGCCAGTTTTAGGATTCCAAATATCATAACAATGATAATAAATTCCCATGTGTAATTTAACATCTTTTCCTTCTGGTCTTTGGTCACTAGTAAATTCAATAAAATTATCAAATTTCTGTTTTAAATCAGTCCCTAAATTAAATTGGCCAACTTTAACAACTGGAGAAACATATTCATACGTTTGAAGCGGTTTTTCAGATGGATTTTGATGGTTATGTCTTATATAAAAATTTCTACTATCCACCAATTTATCCCGCCATTCCTGTATATAATAATATTCAGTTTCCCTTGCTTCTGCTGAAGTATAATGATCACTAAACAAGTTATTATTATTAATTAAATTAAAATTATAAAAATTAATTTACCGTTTTTCTTCAACCCATTGATACATTTGAACTCTCCTTTTTAATTTAACACTTTGAATAGACACACCATATTCGGGTGCAGTTAGTGGTTCGTTTATCCCCAAAGGTGCAGTAACATGAATTAAATGTCCATCTAATTCAGGTCTGACCGGTTCATAGGGATTTAAAGGAATTACATCTTCGTAAGCTTTACTTAATGAAGTGGTTTGATTCATTGATTTAAGCTGTCAAAAAAAAAAATCAAAGAAAAAGATACTTATGTAAAGATATCTATATTTAACATTTACCTCGTTTGTTATTAAAAGATAATTACTAAGACAAAAAGCCACAATTCCAACAACATTAATCAACCCATTTTTTTTAAATTCTGATAAAATTTCCATAATTTTCAATTTTCGTTCAAATAACTAACTGAAACACTCAAAATATTACTAAAGTTGGCAACTAACCTGATCTTGATTATAAACATTGGGATTCTGGGCAGATTTATGCATTTGGTTTAGCACGCATGCTCAACGTGTAGAATAAAAACTAGGATGTTTTGTGGACGATTTAGAATATGTTTTAGATCTTATAAACGTTCCAAATGATGTGATGATGGTTGTGGAAAGTTGGATCATCAATTTTGATTGTTATCTTTTGAAAAGGTGAGATTTTGTGATTTTAGTTAATGTGCGTGGATCTAACCTTATTGTTTTATTGATTTTATTATGGAAATAGCGCGCATATTTGAATTTCTATAGGCCCCATACACCTGCAAACAAATTCCGCAAACTAACGTTGCACAAGTTATTATGCAAACAAGGTACCCATACACTATACGCAATTTTATACAAACTTCAGTCAGTTGCTTGTGTTCTGTACGCATGGAAACATGCCATTCGACGAAGCAATAGTGTAGCTATAATAATTGCTAAATAAGGAAGCAAAGAGTATGTATGAGAGTGGTTAAAGAAAAGATCACTTTTTAGCCACGCAAAATTCTCAAAGAACTTAACCCCGTACTGCATGATTTTTTTAGATTTAATTAAAAATGAATGTATTACAGTACTAAGCTACTCAGAAGATCATAAACCATTGAAAATTAGTATACAGTTGTTTTCTTTCCAAAGTATTTCGAAAAATTCTCCACTTTGATGCATCTGGGAGCAAAAAAGTTACAGACCATTGTGTTAAGGGTACAATTTGCTACAACTTTTGTAGTAAAAGTTTTTCAGTATTATGTTCCGGATACCGTTTTTTTTCAACACTCTTCTATTTTTAACATTTTTGAAAAATTCTCGACACTGATGCATCTGGGAGCAAAAATGTTACAGACCATTGCGTTAAGGGTACAATTTGCTACAACTTTTGTAGTAAAAGTTTTTCTGTATTATGTGCCATATACAGGGTGTATCTGAATGACGTGCCCAAACTTCAGGGGGTGCTTCTTTAGGCAATTTTAAGGGTACTTTCTCATATAAACTATCAGTGATTTCGACTCCTCTGCGGAGCTACGCCCCTTCAAAAATGGCGAAAAATTTTGGTTTATTTTATTTTTCCCGAAAACTATTAACACCAAGAAAATGAAATTTGGGAAATATGTTTAGCTTATAATAGGGCATGTTTCGAGCCTATTTGTACTTTCAATCTTCCCTTCGATTCCGTTCAATTTTTGTCTAGATCTTTTTTATGACGATGATAAATACATTGAAAATATTTTATTTAGATAGACGAAAATATTCTAAAACTTTTTTGCCTCTCTGATGTTCTTCGAAAAGTTAATAGTTTCTGAGAAAAAAATTAATTAAGCAAACACTAACTGTTAAGCTGTAGCGTTGTTAATCGAAAGTTGGAATGAATTTTTAAAGAAAAAATCTTAGCAGGCTTAGCAATCTTTGTCAGAAATTTTTTTGACGTTTAAATGTCAGTGGTTTTCTTACTGTTATTATTGTTTTATTTAAAATTTTGAAACGTCGAGTGAACGAGCGTAAATGCGGTAGAACTTTATTCATAAATTAATTTGAAAAACAATAATAATAGTAAGAAAACCACTGACATTTAAACGTCAAAAATATTTCTGACAAAGATTGCAAAGCCTACTAAGATTTTTTCATTACAAATTCATTCCAACTTTTGATCGACAACCCTGTTGTTTGCTTTATTATTTTTTTTCTCAAAAATTAGCCGTTTTTGGAAAAATTTTAGAAAGACAAAAAAGTTTTAGGATACTTTCATCTACCTATGTAATTTTTTTTTTAATGTATTTACCCTCTGCATACAAAAATGTTAGCAAAAATGTAAAGGGGGTGGTTACGTTTAGTAGTTTAGAAGGATAGGTTGAAACTACAAATAAGGTGAAAACGTGCCCAGTTAAACATATTCCCCAAATTTCGTTGTCCTAGCGTTTATGGTTTTTGAGAAAAAAAAATTAAACCAAAATTTTACCCCCTGAAGTTTGGGCATGTCATTCAGATACACCCTGTATAGGACGATTTGACAAGAAATGTAACATTTTAAAACCACTTTTATTCTACATGAAAATTAAAAGAACAGTTTTGATCTTTCTTGAAACAAAGGCAATCGTTACATTTTGTGCACATTACAAAGAAATCTTCTACATTATATTTACACCGTTGGCGTTCATCAGAAGTCCATTTTGGTAGGTGATTTAGATCTCAAGCAGGAATTTCTGAGAATGGGTATTTTTTCTTTTCTAGATCCAGTTTAGGTTGTAAATGGTTGCCGCGCGGTTTTGGAATTGTATTTGAGTTTAAATTCAGAAACTGGCAAATACATTTCTGAATCCGCAAATCTTCTCCAGAAAAGCCAAACATTTAAACGCACTATACAGGGTGAGTCAGAAAGAATGGGAAATACCGGAGAATACTAGACACCAAAATATGATGATTTAACGTAACATCTCTTATACAAATGTCAGTGGTTTTCGAGGCATAGGGTGTTGAAAGTTAAATTCTTATTTCGAAATTTCTTGATAATTTTGAAGATTTTTGTACTATTAACATAAAATTTTGTAGTTTTATGTTTTCGAGCATGAGAAATACGAATTTGAAACTTGTTTTGTTATTGCTCGTAGAGGGCGCTAGATACATGCTGCTCGTTTGATAAATCAAATCATAAGTTTTTTGGCTCGACAGCTACGACCAATAAGAGCTGCAAATCACAAAGAGCATTCAATTTTACATAAAAAAGGTACTCTTATTGAAATTGTCTAAGTCTATCGGTTTTCGAATTATTTACTTTTAAATGTTTAAATGTATTTTTTCTTCTAAAATATTTATTTTTTAACATAAGCAAAGTTGGGTTATTTTTCCGCTTATGTTTCGACAATTGCCTGTTAATTGTCAACATTGATCTAATTTCCGTGTGCAATAATCATTTTTACCAACAATAAAGTTATTACCAATTTGAAAATGCCACGACATAATGAGTTTTTTAATAGTGAGAAATCCAGATTTAAGTCCACTGGATTTTTGAAAATGGTCACAATATTCTATTGTTATTAATTAATTGTTATTGTTATCGATTATTATCGTTACTAATTGCTATAGTTACTGTGTGTTATTGATTTTAAATGTTAACCTTAAAATTACTTTGAAACAATTAAAAGCAGATAACTTGGAAACCAGTAGACTTAGACAATGTAAGCAAGAGTACCTTTTTTGTGCAGAATTGAAAACTCCTTCAGATTTCTGGTTCTAATTCACCATACCTCAACTGACAAAATAGTCATGACTTGATATCTCAAACGTACAGTGTGTATCTAGCGCCCTCTACGAGTAATCACAAAACAAATATCAAATTCGTATTTCTCATGCTCGAAAACATTTAACTACCAAATTTTATGTTAATAGTACAAAAACCTTCAAAATTATCAAGAAATTTCGAAATAAAAGTTTAACTTTCAACACCCTGTGTATTAAAAACCACCGACATTTGTATAAGACATGTTAGGTTAAATCGTCATATTTTGGTGTCTAGTGTATTCGGATTTTCCATTCTTTCTGACTCACCCTGTATATCTAAGAAATGAAATACCTAAAAAAATTCTAATATTGATTCTAAGAGATCAACTCCTATCATGTAGGAGTAGTAAATGCTTACATCTCTACGCCATCTACATTTGCAACTTTTACAATTATGGTACCTTCCCTTCTTCTTTAGACCGTTATTTGGAGGAAGATTACTGTACGGTACTAGATTTCTTCTAACAGTACCAAGAGGTAAAATACATTGTTTTAAAATATGAGTAGGTCTATATTTGTAAACCAGTCTTGTAATTCTGGTTTCAATTTTTTTTTTTGGAAATTTTTTGATTTCGTCAAATCTGTTGCAAGACATAGTACCAAAAATTGCAGGAATAGCTATGGAAGATCCAATAGTTTCTTGTAGAAGGCAACTGTATAATAGACATATAAATAGAAACACTTCAAAATCCACGAATTTCTTCTGCTGTCATATTTGCTGGTTACTACGGTTTACACTGAACCTGAGTATAAAATTATTTCTTCTGTAATACAATTAACCATCTCCGTTGTGAGCAGGTATTTGAAGAATTTGTTTATTATTTCTTCTGTTAAATCTTGATTACCGTTGAAGAGTGTAGATTCTGCAGGTACATTCAAAAAGGCTTCACACCATTTTCTATCTCGTCTGGTATTATTTCTACGAACCAGGTTCTTCAAGACTTGTGAGCACATGAACCTTTCAGTTGCAATTTTTAGGACAATCATCATCAGACAGATTTCGCCTACACTTTCATATCTATTCAAATTCAATTTCTATCAATTCATTTAATAGATACTTACCTTTTATCTATATATTTACTACAAAATTCAGTTTCTGCAAAAACTCGCTTGTAATGTTTTATGCTAAAAAACTGCAATACCTCCTAGTCAAATGGTGATTTGACATGTAAATCTTGGAAGTGCCGTCTTAAGAGACTCACGGCTAAAGCAACGGCTGAAGTGTAGAACTAACACTGAATATTTCTAGTTCTAGGTCTAGTGTTAGTTCAAGTTTTACACTAGCACTATCACAAGACCTAGAACTAGAGTCATTTGGGTTTAGCCGTCTTGAGAGACGCACCATTCGGGTTTAGCTATGCGTCTCTTAAGACGGCTAAACCTGCATGTTCCTAGTTCTAGGTCTTGTGTTAGTTCTAGTGACAGTGCTAGGTAGCGCTAGTTAGCATTGGATATCATTGTGTTGTATATTTATATTGAATTAAAACCGCGTCTGAGGTCACACGGCTAAACGTTCTAGTTTCTAGGTCTAGTGTTAGTTCTACTTTTAATTGTTACACAAGAAAAAATCGTGTCGTGTAAAAATTTTAGAGTAGTTGGTAAAAAGAATTAGAGTAAAAATTGTAATACCACATGGTAAAAACAACTCTAATGTACACTATATTTAATATTAATATATATTTTTCACTTAATAGAGTAGTTTTTACAGTTCTCTAAAGGAGAGTTCTTTTTTACTTATGTTAGTGAAGTTATGTAATATATAAAACATTAAATTTTACACTAGACGTGTACTTTTCCTTCGGGTACTTCGTAGGCACCGCACTATTTTGCTCGGGATTACTCGTCGGTACCACGTGATCAACATGTGGTGTGATACAGCTAAAATTTAACGGTCATCTACTAAACGAGTCGGAACTCGATAGCGTCTCGAGACCTGATTTACGCGATATAGAAAGAAAGAACGATTATTTTTATTTTAATTATGTTTGCCAAAATAAAACATTCATGATGTGAAATTAGTGGAACTTCCGGAAGATTTTACATACAAGTTCCTTGTGAAGATTTGTAAAAATGTGCAACTTGGTGCAACTATACATATAGGAAACTTATAGAAGACTCATTAGATGCAGTTTTGATGGTGACTCGATGGAAACTTTAAAATGAATTAAGTATTATGTATGTTATATGTATATAAAT